CAGGCTGAGGCTGAGGCTGAGGCTGAGCAGGCTGAGGCTGAGGCAGGCTGAGGCTGAGGCCGAGGCTGAAGGCAGACTGAGGCTGAGGCTGAGGCTGAGGCAGGCTGAGCTGAGGCAGGCTGAGGCTGAGGCTGAGGGCTGAGGCTGAGGCTGAGGCTGAGGCTGAGGCTGAGGCTGAGGCTGAGGCTGAGGCTGAGGCTGAGGCTGAGGCTGAGGCTGAGGCTGAGGCTGAGGCTGAGGCAGGCTGAGGCTGATGCTGAGGCTGAGGCTGAGGCTGAGGCTGAGGCTGAGGCTGAGGCTGAGGCTGAGCAGGCTGAGGCAGGCTGAGGCTGAGGCCGAGGCTGAAGGCAGACTGAGGCTGAGGCTGAGGCTGAGGCTGAGGCTGAGGCAGGCTGAGGCTGAGGCTGAGGCAGGCTGATGCTGAGGCAGGCTGAGGCTGAGGCTGAGGCTGATGCAGGCTGAGGCTGAGGCAGGCTGAGGCTGAGGCCGAGGCTGAAGGCAGACTGAGGCTGAGGCTGAAGCAGGCTGAGGCTGAGGCTGAGGCAGGCTGAGGCTGAGGCTGAGGCAGGCTGAGCTGAGGCAGGCTGAGGCTGAGGCTGAGGCTGAGGCAGGCTGAGGCTGAGGCTGAGGCTGAAGGCAGACTGATGCTGAGGCAGGCTGAGGCTGAGGCCGAGGCCGACGGCAGACTGAAGCTGAGGCTGAAGCAGGCTGAGGCTCAGGCAGAGGCAGGCTGAGGCTGAGGCTGAGGCAGGCTGATGCTGAGGCAGGCTGAGGCTGAGGCTGAGGCTGATGCAGGCTGAGGCTGAGGCAGGCTGAGGCTGAGGCCGAGGCTGAAGGCAGACTGAGGCTGAGGCTGAAGCAGGCTGAGGCTGAGGCTGAGGCAGGCTGAGGCTGAGGCAGGCTGAGGCTGAGGCTGAGGCAGGCTGAGGCTGAGGCTGTGACTGCGACTGCCGTTGCCACTGCGACTGTCATCGCGAATGCGACTACGACTGCGAGAACAGCAGAATTCTACAACTGGCTTCTCATCTGAATCGTAAGGGGAATGCTTCCAGATATGCTCCTACACATCGCTGTTAGGTTGCTTTGCCGGGATAATTTTTTGACTGTTTTTGAACATTCCTCCTGTAGAGGGACACGCCCGACTTAAATCTGGACCAAGAAAAACAACAATCACATGCACACCTACCAACCTTGGATCCGCCGGCCCCCGCCTGCCGGGGGTGAGAAGGCGTGTGAGACGACTGGCTGTCCAGGGCTGGACCCAAACGTTGTTCTGTTTCGTTATGTGTTCGGTTTGCTGTTCGTCTTGCTCTACCTGTTCTCCTGCACCTCCCTGCCAGAACGAACAACCAAACACAGCCGAAGTCCAGCAACACAGCGCTCAGGTCCGGCCCTGTGGCTGTCCCCCATACCACTTTCCCCATCCCCTGGGGCCAAAAATCTCGCTAAGGTTATGTCGGGCGTGTCCCCCTACAGGGGACTTCTTTACGAAAAATTAGAAATACCCCAAAAATGCCCCCACAAGGTCAAACAGTGCTAAAAGCATAGTCCCCAGACTATTGTTGGACTATTTTTTTTTTTTAAGTATTTTTGGGTTATTTATTATTTTATTATTTGTCGTCGAAAATCCCCCTGTAGGGGGACAGGCCCGACTTCTTGCTAAGGGGAGGGGAGGCGGGGGGGGGGGCGGCCCGGGGACTCGCCGGCGCTTCGCCTGGGCCCCCGGAGCCTCTCCATCGGGGCCCCCGCCGCCTCCGCGCTGCCCGAGGTGCCTTCTGGGACGGCTTCGGAGAGGCGCCGAGGCAGCCGAACACCCTCCAGAGCACTCAAGATGGTCTTAGGACCCCCGAGATTTATGTCGGGCGTGTCCCCCTACAGGGGGATTTTCGACGAAAAGTCAAAATTACCCAAACAATAATTGAAAAAATAGTCCAAAAATAGTCGGGGAATTCTTTTTGGAGTATCTTTTACCATTTTGGGGTATTTTGAAATATTTTCATTTTTCATACAAAATCCCCCTGTAGAGGGACAGGCCCGACTTAACCCGAGATTCTCCGAGCACGCCACACCATGGCTCCAAGGGGACCCCCAGAAGCAGGTCCGGGGGCGCAGGATCATGCTGTCCTATGGTTTTTGATGAGGTCGCGTTCTCGCCTCGTCGGGCATCCGACGGCTCAAAACCAGCGCCGGAGGCTCCGCAAAAGAGCCCACGTCAGCCAAAAAGGCACCCCAGAGAGCCTGGACGCGGCCCAAGAACCGCTCAAGATGGCCCAGGAGGCCCCCCAGGACGGCCCCAGAGGCCCAACAGGAGGGGCCTGGAGGACGGCCTCGAAAAGGTCCCCAGGGGCTCTCCTCCACAAGATGGCCCCTAAGAACCCCGACATGCATCCAAGCGGCCACGAAGGGACTCACAAGAAGCCCCCAGAGAGTCCCAACTGGCCACAAGAAGCGCTTCAGGTGATCCGACAAGGCCCTTCCCAAGCCTCCAACAGGCCCCTCAGAAGCCCTGCAGTACACCCGCCCTCAAGGTTCTGGGGGATGCCGAGTGCCACGCATGACAGGGTTGGTTCGCGAGGTCCCCCTTGATGGCTTTCTACGAGTCTTCCCTCTCTCCTGGGGGGCCCTGGAGGGCAAGGGCAGAAGTGTCCGGGAACTCGCCAGTGTTACTCCCGCGCCTCCAGGCCTCCATTTCCAGCCCCTGTCGTCTCTCAGACACTCCAAGTGCAGTCTTCAACAGCTCCACATCTCTCCGGGACGTCCAAGACGGCCCAGGATGCCTTCACGACGAGCCACAAGGACCCCCTGAACGACCCCAGGGGAGCCTCAGAGAGGCTTCCCACGAGTCCATCCGATGCATCCAAGAAGCTACTGACCCACTTGATACCTTCCAGAATCGTCGCGAACACTCGCTCCTTCTGGGGGGTCGGCGGAACGGCGTCAGCCACTTGAGTATCTGCCAGCATTGACCTCGAGCAGGAGCGCGCGTAACACGATTGCGCAACAGATAAACGCGCAAACGATAAGGTAATCAATGTTACTCAGCCTGCGCACGGTCGACTATTCTAATGGTTTCCTCTGCGCTATACAGTTTTGTTGTTCTTATGTTTGCTTGCCTTTCAGAGATCTTGGGGGTCCCAGTGCGTGCTCAGGGCCTCGGTCGGCGAAGACGAATGATCGGTCACGCTCCCGGGGCAACCATCCCATACCATCCCGGGCACGCTTCCGTCTGATGGGATGGTTGCCCCGGGAGCGTGATCGATCATTCGTCTTCGCCGCCCGAGGCCCTGAGCACGCACTGGGACCCCCGAGATCTCTAAGAGGCAAACAACATTGTATAGCGCCGAAGAAACCTTTAGAGTAGTCGACCGTGCACAGGCTGAGAAACATTCTTCTGCGCTATAGTCGTCTGCTCTTGGAACGTTGGACGTCGCTCGAGTCTACGTACTGTAGTATTGCCCTTCCTTTTTTATATGGCACAGACACGACTTTGTTCATCCGTACTCTATCTATCGCGTCTCCTCCTTACCCTGCTCTGCTCTACTCTACTGCACTCCACATGAGCGCTCCTCACTCTCAAACTGGCCCACAAAAATCATCGGTATTCCTCTCCACTCTACGCTATAACAATTGTCACTCTGCGGATGTATCTATCATTCGGCCCATGCCTTCTACTCTGCACTCTGGCCCTGAATCTTTCAGTCAACTACTGTGAGCCGGACCAGGCAACGTCCGACCTGGGCAGTTTCCTACGTGTCGCACTCAATGTAAGTACCCCATGCGGTGCGCAACCGTCCCCACGCAGGCCAGACAAACAAACTACGATGCGGTGGACATGGTTTGAACTATGCTGCGAATCATGTGTGATCGATGCAATGCGTGCCGTACAAGCGCGTCCGATAGACAACATACGTCACAGTTCAGTGGTACTGCGAGCTACCTAGATGTTAAGACATGCTGTGCTAACCGACGTAGTGTTTTTGTTCGATGCTATGGCGTGCCATGCTATGCAATGCTACACTGTCGGACGACGGCGAGATATGATGACTAATGGTACAAAGGGCTGCGACGCCATGGTGCGCGATAATATGGTGTTGTGCTATGCCATGCTATGTTGCGCTACGCGTTGCACCTCATCCCATCGCACATAATTGGATTGTGTTGCACATGTGCCTTCAGCGAAGAGAATCAACAATCTGCGATAGGATACGCCACGCGATCTGTTGCGCCATTTGTTTGCTCCAGACACCCCGTGTGCAAAAGCGTTCGTGCCCTCGGGTTGCGCCAGACAGATGTGGACAATTAACTGCCGTAGAATGCTCCATGGGTTGCGCCAAATTACCCTGTGAGCGAATACATTGCCCGCTGCCCCAATGGGTGTGCTATAGGTTGCCCCGTAGGTCCTGCAAACCTTCAAAAGGTCTGTTGCCTCAGTGGGTGCACCACTCTGCCAGAGGTTGCGCCAAAAGTTGCGCCATGCAGACAACAACCTACCAAATCGTCCGTTCCCTCAATGGGTGCACCATTGCACGTCGGGCACCAGGCAACATATCGCATCGACCGTTGCCTGAGCGAGTGTACCATTGCGCCACAGGTTGCGCCATAAGCACGCCGCAATATACAGAATCGTCCGTTGCCTCAGCGAGTCTACCTGTCCGCCAGAGTTTGCGGCAGAGGTTGAGCCAGAGGTTGCGTCAGGCACCCAACAATCCACCAAATCGACCGATGCATCAGTGGGTGAGCCCCCTGAATGCCGAAAGGAATCCCTGCAACATTCGCTGCTCAGGACAAGAGAACCTCCGATTGGGGACGCGCCAGATCCGATTTTGCCTCGGGTCGACCATCAGCGTAAGCAGCCAGCGCATTGGAGCCCAGTGGCCGGACCCCGCCGGCACTTGAGACGTCCTTGCAATCCGCAGCGCCTGCACACGCCAGCTGCGCACACCATCCAGACCACCGACTGGCAACCCGACGCGCGCGTGCTCGCACCGCCCGTGGCCAGGTCAGGCGACCACCGGGCCCCGAGCATCCCCATGACATTTGCGCATGACGCAGAGGTAGTCCCGCAGGTAGTAAACGTTTGTGGTGTCGCCCTGGCTGGAAGACTCCTGGACCACCTCGAAGCCCGCCTTGCAGGCCAGCTGCCTCGCGATGTCTGGCGACAGGAAATAAAAACCACCCACGGAGTACTTGCGTTGCCGCTGGAAGCGCTCCCAGCCCAGTGGGGCAATAATGTTGGCGGTCGAGACGAAGGCCAGCCCGCCAGGCTGCAGCATCCTGTGGATGGCGCAAAAATACTGCCAGATGGTGTGAAGGTCGAGATGCACGAAGACATCAAAAGAGTAGACCACGTCGAAGGAGGTATTGAACCTGGCCGGGATGTCGGGCGGGCCGGCGCCCGTCAGGTGCACAAATTTCACATTGGAGAGCCCCTGGCGGTCCACCAGGGCCTCCTTGGCCCTGCGCAACATCTCCATGCTGACGTCGAAGCAGGTGAGGCTGCCGACCCGGCCGGCCACCCTCGCGGCCACGCGGCCCCCGCCGCTGCCGATCTCGCAGACCTGTGCGCCGCAGCCCTCGCCGCCGCGCTCCAGCGCCGCCAGGTGCGGGAACAGGAAGTCATCCAGCGCCTCCGTCAGCGACGCCTCGTCCGACCACTCGTCGCCCACGCAGCCCAGCTCGCGGCCACCCACGTCCGCGGCCATCCTGCGCACCCACTCCTCGGAGGTGTCCCACGCCTTGGCGTACTCGTCCCACAGCTTGCGGTTCGTCTCCACGTTGGACGGCTCGGGGTACACCAGCGCCGCGCTGAGCTCACGGACCGTCTGGAGAATCAGCTCGTTCTGCGGCTTCGAGCGCTCTCGCTCGCCGAGCGCCTGCTGGAACGCCTCCCGGCCGTCGACGCCGCCCGCCTGCGACGGCGTTGGCGCGCTCCCGCCAGGGCCGCTCGAGGAGGAGGTAGTGGCCATCGCCGACGGCCAGGGAGAGGGCTGGAGAGAGGGAGAGAAAGAGAGAGAGACACCTGCGCTGCAACGTTGAGCCGAGGTGGCTACGGAGGGGGCCCTTTTCTCCCCCAGCAAAACGCTTCCGGAGTATCTGGCGTCACTCTCTGACAGCTGCTGCAGCTCTCGATTCCCATGATGGCGTGCTTTTGCCGCCTATAATGTAGCCCGGACTCTTGGGGCAAAAGCGTGGCACTGATCGGCGGCGAGCTAGGGGGGGAAGTGAGAAGGAGAAGGCCTTCTCAGAAGGCGACGGAACTTCTCAGAAGCCCTCGCGCCTTCTCAGAAGTTCGTTGCGTCTCCCAGGAAGGCTCAGAACACTCCTCGGAAGGCCGGGGGACCTCCGAACCTTCGGAGCAGGCCTTCTCCTCCTCGCTTCCCCCCTCGCTTGCCGCCGAACCGAGCAGCCGCGCTGCCGCGAAAGACAGCTGGCGGGGGCCAGTGACCCCCCTGCTCCGCCCAAAGCCCCTCTTCGCTGCCCGCGTCTCCGACCCTGCCCTCGAGCTCGACGAGGTCGCATGGACGGCAAGAAAAAAAGAGAGGAGGAGGAGGAGGAGGAGGAGGAGGAGGAGGAGGAGGAGGAGGAGGAGGAGGAGGAGGAGGAGGAGGAGGAGAAGGAGGAGCAGGAGGAGGAGGACGACGAAGAGAGGAGGGGGGGGAGGAGGAGGAAGAGGAGGAGGGGAGCTGGAGGAGGAGGAAGGGGGGAGGGGAGGCGAGGGCGGAGCACGGAGAGAGGAGGCGGAGGAGGAGGAGGGGGAGGAGGCGGGGAGGAGGGGGAGGGGGAGGAGGAGGGGGAGTAGGAGGAGGGGGGGAAGGAGGGGAGGAGGAGGAGGAGGGGGAGGAGGAGGGAGGAGGAGGAGGAGGAGGAGGAGGAGGAGGAGGAGGAGGAGGAGGAGGAGGAGAGGAGGAGGAGGAGGCTCACTTGGGAGGCCCCAGAACCTCTGCCCCCGCCCCCCGGGGAGGGCCTCCACGCCTTGGCGCTGAGGCGGAGGAGGAGGAGGAGGAGGAGGAGGAGGAGGAGGAGGGGGAGGGAGGGGGACGAGAGAAGACCGATGGAGCGACAAGGCAGGGGCGCTCGCTTCACATCTGCATCCTTTACCCATCCAGCACACCCTCTCCCATGGCCCGTACTCGTTCTCAGTCCGCCGACGGGCGTCGCAGCGGTCCTGGAGCCCCCTATCAAAGGGCCACATCGTGGCATTCGTCAGAGGAGGAGGAGGAGGAGGAGGAGGAGGAGGAGGAGGAGGAGGAGGAGGTGGCGGATGAGCAGAAGGATGAGTAGAGGGAAGAGGAGGATGAAGGAGAACGACGAGGAGGAACAGCAGTAGCAGAGGGAGCAGGAGAAGCAGGAGGAGCAAGAGGACCAGGGCAAGGCGGAGAAGGGGAAAGGAGCAGGGCGCGACGAGAAAAGACTCGAATCCAGAAATGTGGCCCGCGCTGGAGCAAGAGCGCCACTCAGATCGGCGGGAGAAAAGTGCCGATCCTGAAATGAGGCTAGCAATGCAGCGGGAGCACCGTCTCGAAGCACCGAAAACGCTCCGCTTCACAAACACAAGCAACACAAGGTGTGTGAAACCCTGTGAGCTAGCAGAAATGCACGGAGAGTGCGGGAAACCTCTCCAGCACGTAGTCAGGGGAGAGAGGAACGCAGTGCTCATATTGAGTAGCTGTGGAGGGTCTGGGAAGGCAGGGAGGAGGCAGGAAGGGGAGCTCCGTCTCCAGGTCCCGCCCATCCCTCGGGGCCCCGAGGCGCCTTCCGGTCCCTCACGCTGGGAGCCGCATCTTTTTCCACGCCGGCTGTCGCTTCCCAGCGCGCGGGCGCGGCAGGACGGAGGAGTAGCAGGGGGTTGGGCCGCGGGGGGGTCTGGCGAAGGCCAGGTGGAGGAGGAGGAGGAGGAGGAGGAGGAGGAGGAAGGAAAGAGAAGTAGAGGGAGGGAGCGACAAGTAGAGTGATGGAGGGAGGAAAAGAAAGGAGGGAGGGGCAAAGTAGAGGGATGAGGGAGGGAGGCCAGGGGAGGAGGTGGAGGAGGAGGAGCAGGAGGAGAAGCAGCGAGGGTGGCCGAATGAGGAGACGTACGAGGAGATAGGGGAGGGAGTGGGATGAGGACCACGGAGAATGTGCAGACTGAGAAGGAGTAGAAGAGGGAGGAGGAGGAGGAGGAGGAGGAGGAGGAGGAGGAGGAGGAGGAGGAGGAGGAGGAGGAGGAGGAGGGAGGATTATAATAACAATATTACTTAGAAGAAGAATAAGAAGGAGGAGAAGAAGAAGAAGAAGGGGGATCACACCCAAGACAGGAGGAGAAGGGGGAAAGGGAGAGGACGAGAGGGAGGACAAGGGAGGATGAGAGGGGAGGATGAGAGGGGAGGCTGAGGAGTGAGCACGGGGGGGGTAGAAGGAGGAGGACGAGTAGAGGAGAATAACGAGGAGGGAGAACGGCGGCGGTGTGACCTGGAAGAGGAGAAGGACAGAGGACAACGAGGACGAGCACTCCAGGGACGACCGCGATCCCACAGCCAGCGGCCATCCGGGTCCGAGCTCGCCCACGAGCGGCACCGAGGAGAGGCCGCGGCGGGAGCAGCCGGGGACGGGGGCGGCGACGGCAGACCCGGCGCCCCCAGCGAAGCCCCCCTCCCACCCGCGAGCGGCAGCAGCGAACGAGAACGAGAGGCCACGGGAGCAGCCAAGGACGGGTTCCCCTTCTCCTTCACCTCCTCCTCATCCTTTTGTTTCTCCTCCTCCTCCTATTGCTCCACCTCCTCCTCCTCCTCCTCCTCCTCCTCCTCCTCCTCCTCCTCCTCCTCCCTCTGCTCGAGGGACATGGGCTACCTGGGGAGGCGACGGCGGCCGCGGCAGAGTAAAGGGGTTCTTGGCCTCGCGGGTCTCTCTCTTCTTGGCGGGGAGGGTGGGGAGGCTGGTCCCCAGCGCTGTGGGGCCTTCGACTGGGCCCAAGAACTGGGGCTCCCCAGGTCCCCCTTCTTCTCTCAACGCCCAGTCCTTCATAGGGGGGAGGGAACTCGGATATATATATATATATATATATATATGTATATCTATATATATACAAGCCTGCAGTGGCGCTTCGCGCCATGCACCTTGGTCCTTGAAAATTGGTATGCAGGCGGAATGGCAGGAAGGTCAAGCCGACAATTTAGCGATAACTCCTGGTTGCCTTTTCCGGCATCGCCGCGATAATGATGTTATTCGTTATCCTTCCTCCATGCTTATTGTTCCTTAGTTTCGCCATACAGTGCGCATTCTCCCCATCCTCCTCAGCTCTTTTTTGAGGAGGCTCCTCTTTGGAGAGCCTCTAGGGGGCTCACAAAAGTTGCTTCGGGTTTTCTTAAGGCCTTCTGGAGGCCTCCTGGGCGCATTCTGGGGGCCTCCGTGGGCTTCCTCGGGCCACCCTGCCTCCAACCGCCGTCTCCCTGAACGACCGGATCACGACTTGGAATTCTTCGGAGGGTGTCTTTGGGCCATCTTGGGCCGCCATGGGGCTCTCTGAGGGCCATCTTGGACCCGTGTTGTGCCGTTTTGGGGCTCTCTTGGGCTGCCTGGAAGCCCTTTCGGATGGTTGTGGGGCGATTTGGGAGCCTCCCAGGCGGCTTCGGACGCCCAGAAGACCGCCGTCTTGGAGCGTCGGGAAGCCGAAAAGAGGAGAACCCCAAAATTCACCAAAACGCAAAGAAAATCAATGATTTTTGCCTCGGGGGGCCTTCTTGGGAGTGCTCTTGGAGGCCTCTTTGGGGCCGTCCTGGAGGCCTCTTGGGCCATCTTGAGGTCACGTCGGTCACTCTTGGAGCGCTCTTGTGCTGTCTTGGGGGTCTCTGGGACGTCTCCAATGACCCCCTGATCGCCCTAAGTGTGCTGGGAAGGCTTGGCAAAACGCCTTGCGAGGCCCGGTGGCCGCTTCGAGGCCCGTCGGGAGGGCCCCAAAGCCCCAGGTCCCGGGAGTCCGGGTTTGGGGGGGGGGGGGATGGGTTTTCCCCCCGCCCGGGCTTCTAACTAGAAATATAGGAAAAGGAATATCGGAAGTTGGGGGGTGAGTCCGACGTGAAACGGAGACCCCCCGAACAGGGAAATCGATTTCGGTTTCGGGTTCGTGTCGTGCGTGCCGTGCGCGCGTGCGTGCGAGGCGAAGCTGCGTGGGCGGGCGAGAGGAAATCCTCCTGTGGCTCGGCCGCGGCCAGACCGAATGTTGCTCCTCCGGCGGCCAGTGCCGCGCGGTGTTCCGCCGGTGTCCCGCTGGTGTCCCGAAATCCTCCTGTGGCTGGGCCGCGGCCGGACCAAATAGTGCTCCTCCGGCGGCCGGTGCCGCGCGGTGTCCCGCCGGTGTCCCGTGGTGTCCCGTTGAGTGAGATCGATCGTGAGATCGATACTGAGATCGATACTGAGATCGATGTGGTGCCCCGAGGTGTCCCGTGGTGTCCTGTGGTGTCCCGTTGAGTGGAATCGATAGTAAGATCGATAATGAGATCGACAGGTATCCCGAGGTGTCCCGTGGTGTCCCGTTGAAAGAGATCGATATTGAGATCGATACTGAGATCGATGTGGTGCCCCATTGTGTCCCGTGGTGTCCCGTGGTGTCTCGCTGAGTGAGATCGATCATGAGATCGATAGTGAGATCGACGGGTGTCCCGAGGTGTCCAGTGGTGTCCCGTTGAATGAAATCGATAATAAGATCGATAGTGAGATCGATAGTGAGATCGATGTGGTGTCCCGAGGTGTCCCGTGGTGTCCCGCTGAGTGAGATCGGTACTGAGATCGATAGTGAGACTGGTCGTGAAATCGACAAATGTCCCGCGGTGTCCCGTGATGTCCCGTGGTGTCCCGTGGTGTCCCGTTGAGTGGGATCAATAAAGAGATCGATAGTGAGATCGACAAGTGTCCCGTGGTGTCCCGTTGGGTGAGATCGATCGTGAGATCGATACTGAGATCGATACTGAGATCGATGTGGTGCCCCGAGGTG